GAAGAAGAAGATGAGAAGAAAAATGACTCATTGATTGATGATTAGAAAAGTAGTTACAAAGATACACATATAGTTGCACCAACTACCAAAGTTAGTTATGTCACTTCATAACCTATAATTAACTCTCTAAACCTGCATGATACATGATACATGAAATGGATAACTAACCACTCATGATTACAAAGACACATGCCATGATGGAAACTGTTCCTTGAATCATAAGAAACATGTTATCCAAGTGAAATCTAAGTGCATATATAGTTACAAGTTCGTTGTAGGAATTCGATTAATAAGAAACACAACATGAAACACTGCAAAAGACCAAAATTGTTTTGGAAAACCATATTGAAACATGAGAGCTCAACTAATATTCAATATATCTTTATGTCTCCTTTTTACTCTATCATTTTATTGTGGAGTATAGACACAACTTCTTTGATGAATGATACCGTTGGAAGCATAGTATAGAGGAAAAACCAATCAGCTCCATTGTCACTTCTTATCATTATGATTTTTCTTTTCAAATTGAGTTTTAACTATGGAAATAAATTCTTTTATCTTTAGTGAAACTTCAACTTTGGATTTTAACATCAGAACCCACACATTTCCATTATGATCATCTAAAATGGTTAAAAATTTACTTGAATCCATACACATAAATAGTATTTAAAACCCCTCTTATATCAAGATGAGTTATATCAAACAATTGGTGTGCATTATTATTACTGATAGGAAAAGGTAAATTTTTTTTCCTAGAATGCTGACATATATCACAAGTTATGTGTACACCGTCAGGAATGTAACTATACATCTTACTCATACATTTCATCCTATCATAAGATATATGACAAAATGAGTAGAAAATGAACTGGTGCGATTGCAGAAAAATTTGTGAAGCTGACTGGTCATACGCGTATGATACGCATATGGTAGACGTTTCAGAGAGCCAAATGCATATGGTACGTGCCCTATCCCAAATTCCAGTATGACCTTCTTCCGGTACGCATATGATACACGTATGGAGAGAGGCCAAACGCGTATGGGAGTGCCATACGCGTATAGGGAGTTTGGGAAAAGTTTGAAGGAGAAAAATGCTTCTGGTCATACACGTATGTTACGCGTATGAGGTCTGGGCATAAGAGTTAAACACATATGATACGCGTATGAATTGTGCAGAAGGAGAAGCCAAACGCGTATGGTATGCGTATGGGCAGGCTGATGTGCAGAATATCCAGCTTTCGCGATTTCTTTTCCGTTTTTACGTGCAGTGAAATTCCATTTGATTCTTAAGGACTAGTATGGATTAGGTAGGTATAGGAAGGATAGTAATAGTGGGAAATGGGATTAAAACATGAGACTTTGTTGAATTTCTTAATTTCATTTTATGATGATATTGACGTGGTGGCCTTATTGGAGAATTTAGAAGGCTTATGCCTTGTTGTTACATAGTTATGTTGTTGCATGATAATAATGCATACATTTCAATGTTGAGGGCTTATACCCTTTTGTTGGCCTCTAATGATGCTGCGTTGAGGGCTTATGCCCTGGTGTTGCCCAATTGGAACTATGTTGGGGGCTTATGCTCTGATGGTACCACATGTATTTAGTTGTTGTGGGTTGCATTACATTGCACTATCTTGATTTGACATTATGTTATGTGAATGATGGATTGTATTCTCGAAGTATTGTGTGATGTATGATTTATGTGTTATACACTCCTTAGCATGTGATATTTCACCGTATATTTGTTGAATGTAATTCTTACCCCTTTTCTACTGTTGTGTTTGTTCTCCTCCTGGAGTACAGATAATCAGGTACCTGAGTAGTGCTTGGGGTAGGAGTTGTCTGATCGATTCTTAGGAGTCGCTCTGATACGTGACACAAGATTTGAGAATTTACTATGTTTTACGTTGTTTTATTCGTTACGTATCTTACCTTTATATTTATGTTGAACCACGAGTTTTATGGAGAATGTTGGTATTTAAGCCGTAGTGCTATGAAAATGAATAATTGGATATTTCTGTTGTGTAAATAATTCTTTTACGAGAAATGAAATGATAAAATGATTTGAAAATCTTATGAATTTTTGGAAGAGGTAACATCCCATTTGTGTACTCTGATATATTTTCTTATATTTTATTATAATTAAGTGGGGTGTTATATTTCCTCTACCTCTTCCTCCATAAGAGCCATTGCTTCCTCTTCCACTCCCACTTCCTAATTGTATTTGTCCTTTTATTGAATTCATCATTCTTATACCATATTCCACTACAATTGCAGTAGAAGAACTTGAACCACACTGTATCTTTCTTTCTTGATGCATAACAAGAGAAAACACTTTGTTTATCTATGGAAATGGATCCATAAGCAAGACTTGTGAAACCAATCCTCGATCCATCTAGGAACTTGAATTTGTTCTTCATCACTAAAGATCTTCTCATCTTCATCAACCACACATGGTAATTATCGCTCGATAACCCAGGAGTTACACACACCGCTAATGAATTTTCCGAAGGATGCACATAGTGAGGATCAAGTTGATCCTGAACTTGATTATTATTGTTATTGTTTCTCGTCACTGATAACGGAGAAAAACTTTCCCATAAAGGAATTGAAGTTGAACCAAAACTTCTAAAAGAATGAAGCTTCTAACAAAATATGAAACTTTAAAACGAAACAATCACCATGAAAGTATAATTGAAGAAAACAATTGATAGCGCAACAAAAGCAAAGTAGGACAATATGCTTTGATATCATCTAAGCATTTTTATCAATCATTTGAGAGAGAAAAGTCAGAGAAAGAATAAGAAGAAGATGAGCTGAAAAACGACTCGTTGATTAATGATTGAAAAAGTAGTTACAAAGATGCATATATAGTTGCACCAACTTCCAAAGTTAATTATACCACCTCATTTCCTATAACTAACTATCTAAACCTGCATGATTCATGATTCAGGATACATGATACATGAAATGGATAAGCAACCATGTATGATTACAAATACACATGCATAATGGAGAATTGTTCCTTTCATCATAAGCAACATGTTATCCAAGTGCAATTCCATCTATAGTCTTCTTCTATGACTTATGTTAATGGTGAATATAAAAGAGATATGACTTAAATTCTTAATATGTTTTATAGTTTTGGATAGAAATGTAATGTCAATGTCTCATAGTTCATTTTCAGTGAGCCGCAGTTTGTTTACAACTCTCTAGGCTGTTAAACTCAATTAAAAATAAAATGATTGTTGGGTTCTCCATCCTGTCCATCACTTGCTTCACATAGAAATAGTAATAATAATTATAAATAACCATATTATCATTTTGAATTTCATACATTTTAATGTTAAATTTTTAATTTCCATCACTGCCAACAAACTCTATTGTATTTTTATCATCACTAAAAAACCTAAATATATATTATAGGCTTAGATAAATATCCACGTGGTGGAGTTTTCTCGTCATGCATCCGAAACACTGATTGTGTTTTTGTCCACATGTTTAGTTTCACAAATTTTTTAAATTGATATTGAAAATATAATTGAAGGAGAAGGAATACATTTGGTAAAAAAAAGAACTCGGTAGCTATTCAAAAGAGATGAATATACATTTCACATGAAATCATGGCTCAATGTTTCAAAGGATCCACTAGTGAGAGTTAATAAAAAAGCAGACAATTTTTGCTAAGAATCACCTCCAATTACGACTAGTATTGTGGGCAGTTGCGGGAAAAGCTACATTGCCAATTAAAATATTGACGGTGTCGAATAAATGAAATTGTTCAAAACTTTGTTGGGTGTTACAAAAAAGTTATTCATGGAAAGAAAAGTGGGACATTGGAGAAATATATCTTAGTTAATGCACATGCTTTTATTTGTAAAGATGAAGATGCATCATTCAATCTTGAGTATGCATGAGGATTGTTAAAAGATGAACCAAATTGAATGAGATCATCGACCAAAAATTCTTCTAAAAAGAATAAAGAATTATGCTAATAGGACATATTAATCGTGATTTAACCCAAAGACACCTTCAAGTTATGAAAATAACTTGTTATCCCTAATGGAGTGTTCAATGGGACAAAACGCAGCAAAAAGAAAGAGTAAGGTAAAGGAAAATATAAATGCAAATGCAACTGAACTGCTATATAATGTTGTACCTAATACAATGACTACAAGAGTAGAAATAATGGAAAAACAAGCACAACTTAAGGAGGAAGAAAACATATTAAACAAGAAAAAAATAGAGTTTGAAGTAATGCAATTTATCATGTCAGTCACTTCTAGAATGAATGATAGTCAATGTGATGTTCATAAAAAATATATTATCATAAGCTGAAAGAAATCTATGGATTTTAGTTAAGATAAAATATTCTAGTACTATCAAAATTAAATATCCAATACTTTTATGTGTCAACATCTATGTAGAATGGTCATTAATATCATTTTAAATCATAATAAGTATTATTTCGTTATTCAAAATTGTTGTTGTTCAAACTAGGTATTATTCAAACTAGTTGTTATTCAAAATAGTCGTTAGTCAAACTAGCCATTACTTAAACTAGTCGTTACTCAAACTATTTGCAAGTCGTATAACATTATATATATACTTTCATTTTTCTCTCTTTTCTCTCTCATTCTTCTATCACTTTTCTCTCCCTCTTTTCTCACTCCTATCTCTTTCTTCTCTCATTTTTCTATCACTGTAATTGACTAAAACAATTCAAACGATCTCAACAAACTCTTTTAGGACTTGATTAAAGATGGATTTATGGACAACACAAATGAAGAACTACTAATGTCAATGCTCGAGAAGGAACGTCAATTTGAAAGTTCCTCTAGAACAAAGAGAAGAACATTGATAGAACAAAGTCATGAAGAAGGGCATAGACGATTATTCAATGACTATTTCATAGGAAATCCAGTATACACAGATGCCCAATTGTAGAAGTTTTAAAATGCATAAGCACTTGTTTTTTCAAATTATAGACACTCTTGGAAATCATTAAGAAATTTTTTAAATGAGGGTTAATGCAATGAGTATATTGAGTCTTTCATCATTGCAGAAATTCATTTATGTTATTCGTATGTTGGCATATGGATCTTCCGCTGACATTGTAAACTAATCCAACATGTTTAACGATATTTAGGAATGACAAGCCCCACTGTGAAATATAAGATCAATAGGACTACATATAATATAGGATATTCTAGAAGATGGTATATATATGAAGTGAGCCATGTTTGTCAAGACTATTTCAATGCGTAAGGAGAAAAGAGAAAATTATTTGCACATCAAGATTCAGTTAGAATGGATGTGGAGTAGGCATTTGGAGTGCTTCAACCTCTATTTCTAATACATGGCCTGACACGTTCCAGACACATGGAAACCCTCAGACATACCATATATGTTTGCATCATATTACACAACATGATTATTGAAGACGAACGACTCATATATAAAGGCAATTTTGATTACTCTTATGTTAATGTGGATAGCAACATCTCAACAACGGAAACACTTAACAAATCATGCAACAAGACTACAAAGAAGAAGAAGTTTTCGTGAAAAACAAGTTCATCAACAACTTCAAACAGATTTAGTGGAGTATATTCGAAAATATTTTGGACATGAAGATGATGAAATTTAATTTATTTTTGGTTTATCACCACCGGTATAGTCGTCAGTTCTGGCATCACGTAGTTCCAGCCTCCTCTCGATCGCAGTTGCGGGAGATCAAACTGCGGTAGGTCCCTACCAAGTCCAGCGCCAATTACCACTAGACCAACTAACGATTGGTGAAATTTAAATTTGACTAATTATGTTATATTATTTATTTTTATCTTTTTTAAATTATATATGTTATGTATTTAAGATTAATTTTAATTATTGATATAAAAGTTTAAGTTTTATTTATTTATTTATTTATTTATTTTATATTTGTATTTATATTAATTTAAAGAATTTAAGTTAATATTTTAAGTTAAAATAAATTTTAATTGTAGGATCTAATATAAATTTTTTAAAATTGTAGTATCATTGAAATTAAAATAAGATGAATTATTTCAAGATTGTTAACGAGTAAAAAGAACTCAAGAAAGAAGCATCATAAACGATACTCTTTCGAATCATAAACTTTTAACTTATTATGCTCTCATCACTCTCAAGATCTCCAATAAATGGTATCAATTCATATTTTGGATTGCTATAAATATTCATTTTCTTTAAAAAAAAAAGCGTAAAAGATTGAAATATTTATGTACCTGACTCCGAGTAAGTCCGGTTTGTCTTGCAAGCATAACCTTATCAGAGTCCTTAGGATATCTGCATGTCACAATTAGAAACTCATACATTGAAGAAGAAAAGAATGTTGTAATGAAAAGAAGAAGAACAAAATGAGTAGCAAATTCTCACGGGTGCAAGAAATGCTCGAAAAGCCAAGCACGAAGAACCGAAACAGCTCGTTCAGGCAATCCTCTTTGTGGTCTCCAAGCATTATTATTCTGAATCATTCCAAGTTGCTGTAATGCCCGTTGTTGTCGGAGATGGTGATCGACATACCTAAGCCTAGAACCTTCTAACTTAACTCCCAAGCAATCATCTTCTCCCAAACTCTTGCTAGTTGTCTTGATTTGCGATGCGATTGCGTCTTTCAGACTTCGAAATTGCTTTGATATTGTCTTCAAGGCTAGGGATGTGTAAGATTTTGCTGCTCCGTATCCTGTTGCGGATTCAAAGGATGATATCACACTTTGCATTTGATGGTGGTATTGTTTGTACCTTAGCTCTACCTGCATGCAAAATAACAAAACAATCATGTATACATCATAGTAACAAAAAACATATAAATATTTCTCTCTCCTACTCAATGACAACTATCCCATGAATCTAAGTAAAAAATGAATTAAATTGTAAATAAACTTAAAACTCTCTCTTTTAATGAAATGTTTTTAAAAATATGGATTTGAGTTTATTTTCATGCAAGTATTTCTCTTATCATATATTGATATATGCTAATCTGATCAAAGAAAAAAGTTTTATCGATACACTTCATGAAATGACATTCATAAGAAGAAAGTTTGGCCCCAATATGAGTGTGTTTATGAATTATGAAAACCACTTTTCATTTTATGTCTTAAAGTAAACTTTACTTTTCCCACTCTCATTCAATAATGCCTTCACTCGGTAGTTCAAAGTTCAAACTACCAAAATAAACATGAAACTGACTCAAATGGCCCAACCCAAAATTATTCTCTGACATTCACCAGATCAAATGGCTTTTTTGTTATCATCAGTTACTCAAAACTAAGAACTGAAATCTGACAATCCTGTCCATTTCAGTCCTTCTTTGAGTGTCACAATCTTTATTATTTCTTCATTCATTCAATTTGTAGTGTCAAAAGCTGAATCTTCCACAATCCACATAACATAATAACTCAATTGTTTATTTTTTTATATTCCATCTAGTCTTTAATATAAGAAAATATTTATTTTTTAGATTAATTCAAAAATCAATGTATCTAGTAGATTGATTATATATGATACATATACATTAATTCTTCAATAAATTAAAAAAATAATTTTTTTCTTATATTAAAGACTAGAGCTGGTATTGAAACAAGTACTACTGGACTTTCAAATATAAATGCATAAACGTATACAATATTTCAAATGAATCATGATTAATTTATTGAAAACCAAAATTTGTGGAAAGTTAATTATTACTACATGCATGTAACATAAACGTATACCTCATCAAGCATGTTAACAAGTTTTGACTTCTTCATTTGAAGTTCTTGTCTCTGTACAGTGCTTAATTCAACAATTTGTTTCCCTCCATCGTTTTCTCTTCCACCATTTGGACTCGATTCAATATTCGCTTTCCTCTTTTCTCTATCATTATTGTTAGTATTTTCTCCTTCAACATATTCTCCTTTCATGATTCCCTTATCCACATTCACAACTTCATCTAGAAGCTCTTGTGCTACTTTTAAATATTTCGACCCGAAAACAACACAGCCACGGTTGTCACTGCCACGATATATCTCAACCTCGCCAGAAAATGACCGGTGAGGTGTTTGTTGTGAAGAAAGACTGAGAGACAAACCACGCTGATAAACTGGCCTATGATGATAACCTATTTGCGGCGGCGAAAACTCTGTCGCTTCAGATGTTATCACGGTGGCGACATCAACACAGTCTGAGTCTGATCTGTTAGATGTTGTCGCCACCGTGACAGATTGGTCAGGTAATATAAAATTACCTGATCCCCAAGTGTTATTCTGAGGATGAGGAGGACGAGGAGGATGAGGAGGATGAGGAGCTTCGGACGCCGAGGAGGCGAAGCCGTGGAAGCCGGAAGCTTGATAAGGCTGTGACGAACTGTCGGTGGAGTTGGATCCAAGCAAGTTCGACTGTGGAACAGTAAATCCAACTACGTTTTGTTGACTGAATGAAGAAGGCGCGTGTGGAAATTTGAAAGCATTAAGCGCGTGAGGCGAACTAGGAGTGTTTGTGGTAGCGTTGGGATTAGCGAAAAGCATGTTTTGTGTTGGATTTTGTGCTTCCTCAGAGTACGGTACTACGTAGTTTGGATTCATAAGGTAAAGTGTCTGCATACCTTCTGCCGACGGTTGGATGTCAGAACCGTTGCCACGTCCATGAAAGTACGTTCCCATATCTGTCAGAAAATTTATTCTCTTTTTTGTCCGTAGGAAGAAGCTTTAACGTACCATGTTGATTATGAACAAATCAAAAAAACCATCTTTTTTGATTTATATGTCTTGATCTATAAACTTGGTTATTGTTCTTGGTAGTTGTTGTTGATCCTGAAAACTGAAAAAGAACCATAAGATACATGAGCTTGTGAGGTTGTTGAAGAGAGAAATAAAATTAAACAACAAAAAAGAAGTAAAGTAACCAATAACCATATATATATATATATATATCTATATTAGGTGTATAATATTGAAGAAACAAACCAGTTTTTGATCTTTTTCAAGTGTGATGGTACCATTAGGAATTAATTAGTAGACAAAGGCAGCTATGAGGATGGATTTTCCGCACGAGGAGTGAAGAAAGATTGTAAGAAGAAAAAGGTATATAAAAATTGAGTTTGATTGATTGGTTTGGTTGTGTTTTGGTGGTGTGTGTGAGAGTGTTTATTTCTTGTCCAAGTGATTTTTGGGTGTGGAAAAAAGGTATGGTATTTAAAAGGACATATAGAGATGGTGGATGAGTGATGACTGGTGAGATTTAAAAGGTGTGGTCCGTTTTATGTTTCGATATTATGTTAAATAGGGATTACATTTAATAGACAGCTTGGGATTAGTTTTGTTGTACACTTTCACGCCTAGTGTTGGTGGCTATACCTTTCTATAAAAGATACTCTAATACAAACTCAACTAATAAGATTCTGGTGCGTTCGCATCGTTACGAGGGTGTATTACGCGTATTTGTTTAAAGAATATAATAATAATAAAAATAAAGAATAAAAATTATATAATTAAAATTATTTATTATTTTTATAAAGACTTATTTTTATTTATATTTGAATTATATATAGAACTTTTCTATATATATATATATATTTTCTTCTATGTAAATATTATTTTTGTTTTGATATTATTTATAAAAAATTATTATTATTTATAAAATAAAAATATTAGTAACATAAATAATTAAAAAAAAGTTTAATTTTGACATTATCTATAAAAATAGTTGAAATAATAAATTTGTTCACGTATAAAATTGTTCCCGTATATAAATTTATTTCCATATATAAATTTGAATCAATAGTTTGGATTCAAATCTATTTTGAAAAATAAAACAAAAAATATATGAAAAATATCAATATATAATTATAAATTAATATATATTTTCTCATTTTCAAATATTTAAAATAATTTATAAATTTTTATGTTGTTTAAGTCTACTAAAAAAAATACATAATGTTGGTAAATTATTTTAACTAAAAACAAGATTGTTATAAGAAAGGATTTGTAGGAGGATAGTTACAGACAAAGAGAAAGGATACTTATGAGACAATTGTTTTGGAGTCTTGGGTTATTTTGCACATGCAAAACTTTCTAAATGTGACTTTGTTAGTGGTCGTTTTGGAATACAGTTTTATGAGTAATTTAAAGGTTCAAATACTTATACATATGAGAAAGATACAAATGTGAAGAAAATATAAGAGTGATGAGAATATTTCTCCTCTATAGTTCCTTGTAGTCTTCTTCATCAATGGAATCATCAGCTATATCTATAATAATTAGTTCATATCCTGCACTTTCTTTATCACCACCACACTCATCTGAAACAAAAAAAATACATCATACGGATCACAAATCGACAAAGATAAGTGATACTTTCTCAAGTAGCTCTTAGATTACCGGTTCGAAACAAATATCATAAAATTAAGGGAAATCAAATGGCAATCAATTTTGTTAGTGTCATTTGAGGAAGAAGAGAGGTTATTGGGAGAATCTGGTTGGGGGACATAGGTAGGAGAAGAAGGTTCATTTGATGGTGGAGGTAAGTTGGGTGGAATGTTGGTGAAAATATCAGGTGAATCAAGGGAAGGAGGGTCAGGAGTAGGGATTATAGGATTAGGTGCAGGTGGGGTGGATGCAAAAGGGAACACAGTTTCATAAAAGAATACATTCCTTGAAATGTAAAATTCATGTGTGATAGGATCATAGAGAAGGTATCCTTTTGTGCCTTCCCTGTAGCCAAGAAAAATAGATTTTCTTGCTCTTGGTTCGAATTTAGTGTGATGGTTAAGCAAGTCGAAGAGTAGGCAAGACAACCAAAGACTCTCATATGGTTAAGGTTGGGAGGAGTAGAATGGAGTTTTTGGTAAGGAGAGTGGTTGTTTAAAAGAGGAGTGGAAAGACGGTTTATAATATGAATGGCCTGTTGTATGGAGAGGTGCCAAAGGTTGTGAGGGAGGTGAGAGTGGAAAGAGAGGGCACGAGCAACATTCAAAATGTGCTGATGTTTTCTTTCCACGATACCGTTCTGTTGAGGCGTTTCCACACAAGACCTTTGATGAATGATTCCTTTCGAAAGGTATAAAGTGGTCATGAGAAACTCAGGGCCATTATCACTTCGAATGCACTTGAGTTTCTTGTTAAATTGGGTTTCGATAAAGGATATGAAGTGAATTAAATGGTTCCTGGTTTCACTTTTGTTGGCCATAAAAATTGTCCAAGTAAACCTGCTGTAATCGTCTACGAGGGTTAAAAATACTTGTGGCCACATATGGAAGGTGTGGAAAGAGGGCCCCAAATATCAACATGAAGTAAATTGAAGATGGCAACAGACTTAGTATTACTGTGAGTAAAAGGAAAATGTTTTTGCTTAGCCAAATGGCAAGTATTACAGGGCTTATAATTGTCATTGTAGGTGACAAAAGGAAATTGAGAGGAAATACATTTGTGTATGTAGGGACTTAAGTGTCCAAGCCTAAGATGCCAAATAGTAGCAGGATCGTGTTTAGCAGGTTCTAATTGGGGAGAAGAGGAGGTGTTGACAGAGCCAGATGTGGGAGAGATGGCCTTAGGTGGGGTGGCATCAAGAACATACAATTTGCCAATCCTCCTAGCTGTAAATCCAGTCATCTTGGATGGGGGCAACTGCATAATTTGACAGCAATTAGGAGAAAATTTCACATCATATAAAGTGGAGTCAAAAAGAGTGGTGACAGAGATAATATTGACATGAAATGAAGGAAAGTAATAAACATTGTGAAGGACAAGTGAACAACATAGTAAAACTGAACCAACAATATTTGTAGTGACAGAGTCACCATTAGGCATTGTCATGGATTTAGGTGCAATGTGGTATGTGAAAAGGAAACTGGCAAAGGTATGGGTGATATGATCAGTGGCACCTGTGTCAATGATCCACCAGTTATGAGAAGTAAGATTCGAGGAATTCTTACCAGAGGAATTATGAGGAGAGGTATGGGACACAGAATTAGCAGTATAAACTGAATTAATTGAGGGAAGTGAAGGAGATTGCAAATTAGATTGTTAAAGGAGCTGCAGAATCTGAGTGTATTGTTCTTGAATCATAGACAAATTATTTGGACTGGTGTTTGATGTGGAAGCAGCATCTTGAATCAAGTTCACTGTAGAATCAGCAGCCTTCCCCACAAATGTAGTAGGCTTGCGTTGTTGAAATCCAGGGGGATAGCCATGTTTCAAGAAGCAAGTCTCAATGGTGTGATTGGTGCGGTTGCAATGAGTACAGAGTCGGTTTCCACGGCCACCACGGCCACGACCACGACCAGGGTTGTGAGAAGAACGAGAAGGTGCTTGAGAAAGGTGATTCATAGACGATTGAGACTCAATCGAAGAATCAGAAGGAGAAAGAAGGTCGAATTGACGTTCTTGTTAAAGAACCAGATTAAACACATTATCAAGAGTTGGTAGTGGTTTCATCAGCATAATTTGCGAGCGAACATGAGCGTATTGGTCACCAAGGCCCTTCAAGAACTTGATAACTTTATCTTGTTCTTTGAATTTTCGTAAGTCTGAAGCAGCACCACAGGAGCACGGTATAGCGCAAGTACAATCACGAATTGGCCGGAAGTTCTCAATTTCTTCCCAAAGCGTCATCAATTTTGTGAAGAACGAAGAGACATCGAGAGTTCCTTGTTGAAGACGAGCAACACTTTCTTGAATGTCAGCAATGCGAAAAATATCTCCTTGAGAAAAACGATTTTCCAAACTTTTCCATACAAGAGAAGCACGATCATACCATAGAAGAGATTTTGCAATTTCCTCAGAAATCGAGCGTTGAAGCCATGAGAGGACGAGATTGTTGCATCGCAGCCAAGGTTCGTATAGAGAGTCGGAGGTAGGGGGAGGAGAAAGAGTGCCATCAACGAATTTGATCTTGTTCTTGGAGATAAGAGCTACTTTCATTGATCTAGACCAGATCTGGTAGTTCTTGGTATCAAGAACAGGTTGAACAAGAACAAGAGAGGGATTCTCATTAGGGTGCATGTAGTAAGGATTGGAAGGGTTGGTAGCAAAATCAGAGTAAGGAAGCGCCATAACAAGCTGAAGCAGCAAGGGAAGAAGGAGGCGCGAAGAAGAAAGGCGCAGAAAAGGGAATCCAAACTAATACCATGTTAATTTTAGAATAAACTGATTGTATTTTCATTGTATTTTGGAATGTAGAAAACAATATTATATATACTGTTAAAGTAACAAACTGTTTAGTAACAAACTAAACAGAATTATAACAAACTGTAACAAACTAAACTAACTGTTTAGTAACAAACTAAACAGTATTATTTTCATCATGTAATAAGTTTCATTCCAATAGCGGTCGGATTAGATTTAAGTTTGCAGAAGCGAAATTTGAAGAAAAAATAGAAGAAAATTGATGGCAGCAAAGCAATATAAGGATGTAGATATAAGAAATCTCAACCTAGTTCAACAAAGAGTCGGCTAAGTCAAACTTTAGTTCTCTGCTGAAAGAAACTGAAAGTGTAGCCAGAATTTCATCAAATAGATTCAAATTTTCATGTTGCACTTTTTTAATATATATTCTGCCAGTAAAAATTGTGCAGAAAAGCATTATATTCTGCCAGTAGAAATTGTGCAACTAACATATATAAAATATTTGAAAGAAACATTCATATACTCAGAAACTTATAGAT